TCCACTCAGCTCTTCTGTGCCGCACTCGGCCTCCATCCGTGTGCCACATGTTCCACAAACCTCGGCAGGGCCTGGGCTCCCAGTCTGCTGTGCACATGGGTGCTGAGGCCTGTGATGGTGGCACCTTCCCCAGCAAGATGGAAATGTAGTTTCCATAATGTGCTCTAATTAGCGTTTTTCCTGCTAACTGCGTCCCTCACAGCTCCGAGCAGGTGCCGATTATCAGCCCTCCCTCCCTCCTCCCCCCGCCGTGGTGCTGCTCCTGCAGGTCTGAGATGCACAACAAAGCCACGCTGATTTATGGCTTCCATACCTGTCCRGGAAGGGGGGGAAATAATTTAGGAATACGACTGCGTGCCTTTTGTTTCTCAAGTGAGACGCGCCGTGGAGCGTTCCCTCGCGGCCGCATGCGTGCTCTCCCAGCTCCTGGGATTGTGGCAGAGATAAGTGTTCATTTATTCAGGGTGCGTGCAGCTAGCTGGACTCAAATTTGCAGCCAGGAGATGGAAAGTTGGAATCCCTGTAGCCAGCACTGCCCAGCAGAGTGATCCCTGCGGATAGAAAATGGACGGGAGGCGTTGGCACACGTGCTTTCGCCAGTCCGGAGTTTATTTGTGAGCTSGGCTGGGCAGATCTGTGTTTGTTCATCCATCTGACCCCAAACCTGAGCCACTGCTCTGAATTCTGCTGAGTTTGGTGGGATTTGGAGCAGTCCCCTTCCATCAGATATTCCCTTTGTAACACTTTTGTAACATCGCTAATAAACAGGGCCTGTAAGTTCTCGCTAGAAAGCAAACCAGCTTGTGATTCTCTTAGGGATGGTGCAGAAGTGTGTTCACAGRTATTCCTGGTTTTGAGGACATTTTAAATCTCCAGTTCCAAAATTCCCAGTTTTAATTTCATTTGAATTTGGCTTACAATCTCCAAAACAGAACACAGTTCTGTTCAAGACGCTTTCATTTGTAGAGGATTTGTAGGAACAAAATGCCCAGGACTAGGCCCTTCGCAGCCTGTCTCTTARAAAAATACATCATCAAATTTAATATCTCATCATTTTGAGTTGCCCTTTGTAAAAACTGTCTTTCTCCACATTTCAGTGTTACCATTTATTTAGTAGTTGTATACTCCTCCTTCTTGCTTGCATTTGAAATTTGTGGTTCTGTACCTCTGGAAACAAAGGATCTGATCCAAAGGCCTCTGAAGGCGATGGGGCTTTTTGCACCGACTTCAAATGGGATTTGGATTAGGACTATATACATAATAGTTTCAAATAAAGATCTGACTGCTACAGTGGTTTTCAGGGTCTTCCACAAAACTTTTCAAAACTCTCATAAAAATTGTCTAGGCACGATGGTCCAAAATACACATCCGAGCATGAATCATGTTTTGTTGTTTCACTTTAAAAAAAAAAAAAAAAAGGAGGGGGGAGGTGCTCCGAGGAGCTTTATCTCACTGGTGCTCCAAATGAGTGTTCTGTGAATAAAAAAGAGGGAATGTTGGGTCAATATTTGGTATGTAGCTGATGCATTACCTTATGCATTCTTTATTTAAATTAGGGCAGCCTTTTTGGAAGGAGTCTGTAGATTGGAGATGGCAGCGTACTGCCTATTTATTTTTACACACGTAAATTTAAATTAACCTCAACCGTCGTATCCTGTTATCTGCCAAGGAAAACATTTAGCTCCTGCCCAATCTCCGTGGAGTTTCAAAATGATTTGCTCTTTTCAAACTTGTTAAAGCACAAATAGAAAAGTAAATTGCTTTGCATACCG